GTATGAATGAGCTCAAAACCAGCCCTCATGTATGCGTGGTGCACGTGTGGGCACGTGAAAGTTTTTTTTGGGTAAGTTGCTAACTCGGGAGCCTGAAAAGCTAGAAAGCTGGAATTTTAAGGGGTGTTTCTTTATGCTTTTGGCAGCTAGTCTTAATTTGTTTAGCTAAAAGCATTTGCCGGGAAAACTGGTGCCGGTAGCGACAAAAACTGCGGGAAGCTATGCAAAAAACGCATCTTTGCACGGACAACCCGTGCGTTGGCCAATTATTTATTTTCAGTTATAATTTGCGGAAGAGAAGAAGTATGAGCAATGAGATTGCGGTAAAAAAACTACTGTCAACTATTTCGGCATCTGTGACAGAAGAGGTAAATGATGTTTAGTATAAGATCGTCTTCCTTGTTCTACAAGCCTTAATTTTTGCTTTTACCAGCTCGTACTTTTATTAATTTCCATAGAACTAATTTTCGTCATACTTACGAGATCCAGTTGTGGTAATGGTAAAAAATGCATACTACTTAATGGACCGAAACATTTCTTACCGTTATAATAATTTAATATATTTTACAACTTTTGCTAATTTCTTAATATTATTTGTTTTTTTCCTCTTCCAACTATTTTCCTATTTCAAAATCATTCTTCAGGTGCGGTTTTTTGAAGACTGCAGCAGTATGTTTGTCAGTGTCCGCAAGTGTGAAAGAAAAAGCGAAGGTCTGTTTGTTGTGTTAATAAGCTCCTTCATTTTTCTGTTCCCAATTTTTTCCCTTTTTAATATATATTGAGTACATACGACTGGCATTAGTTGGAGATTTGCCAGCCCGGGACTGTGAGGCGAAACAATTTTGCTCGGTACATGGGTCAGGCGATAATTGCGGTTTTTTGTGCGTTTTTTCTGTGCAGCGCTATAGCACTGCTGCAGCCAGCAAAAACGAATATTGTCGAGAGGCTGTCTGTGTGTTCGGAAAGCGAGTGCATTTTGTCACCCATTTTCATCTCAGCAAGCAGGAAAGCTGGGAGGCCGAAATTTTGGATATATGTTCCTACCCCGTGTGTCATCCTCCCGTTTTAAGATCTTTCCCCATACGCGCCTAGGCCCCGCGTACGAGATCCCCAAAGAAATATGTTGGCGTGAAACGATTTCGCGAATCAGGCAACGTAGAAAGCTGAAACTTTGCAAGGATATTCTCTATGCACGTGCGAGGCAATTTTAAACTCAGCTTTCTAGCTCCCCCAATTACAGCCTCAAGCACCTCCTAACCCAAAAATCGTTAGCAACACCGATCTCGCAATCATATATGTAAATGAACGTGGATTTTTTGAAAAACGACCGTTCGAGCAGTACTTTGAATTTTTAATGAACTGAAAATTTGCATATTTTCAAAGAAATCGTTCGCAGCTCGGGCCTTAACCGCAATCGTATATGTAAATGAACGTGGATTGACAAACAACCGCTCGAGCAATACTATACTGGAAATTTGCATCTTTTCAAAACATTTGCATTTATTTTTTCCCAAAGCGAGCATTTACCGAAAAAACAACCGGACTTCATGTAAAAAACCGGTAATCATGCACCTGGATGTCCCTGCGGTTCTACAATGCGCCACCTTCATTCCAACTGACGCTCTTCCTCCTGCATGCCGGAAGGGCCAAAGCACGGCCAATATGAGACCAATTGTTAGGCTGCAGCGAAGGGATCATTCTTGTTAATAGCGATCTGCGGCCTTAGTGCAAAAGCACATGATCGCACCGAAGAGCCTGGCGGGTTCCAGCCTGGGTTAAACATATTGTTCAAGTCATCCTATTAATTATATTGATGGTAAGAAATACATACGACCTAATGAACCGAAACATTTCTTACCATTAAACTAATTCTTATAATTTACAAACTTTGTAATTCTCATCTTCTACCTTTTTTACTCTTCGTCTTCTTTTATCCGTTGTTAATACACTATTTTTTTTTTTTTTTAATCCTATTCTATTAATATGGCAGTTTCCTATTCGCAGTTTTTTTTTTTCCAATTTCTATTTATTTAGCTGGAAAATCACGAGGAGCAGTCACTGATAAAATTGCAAATGGAAACGAAAGTGAGCAGCAGGTGGATTCCAGTGGAGAAACTGTTGGAGTTGAAGTTGCTGAAAAAAGCACAGTCAAAAACGTAGGTCATCAGCAGGTCGATTCCAATGGAAAAGCTGGAGATCCCGGTGGAGAAACTGTTGGAGCTGAAGTTGCTGAAAAAAGCACAGACGAAATCGGAAGTGAGCAGCAGCAGCTGATGGATTCCGGCGGAGGAACTGTTGGAATCGAAGTTGAGCAAAGGGAAGACGTTGTTTGCGCAGTTGAACAGGAACTGGAAAAAAGTATTGCTA